GGGCGCTTATGGGGTGACGAGTAGGCTGGCACGCTGCTTTGCTTCATGAGGATTGATAGTTTTTTATGTTGGTTAGATTTCTCTAATAATTTCATATAAGTTTTATGTGGATTGTAACTCTCCCTCATCAGTTTGTGTGAGTTGTAATTACAATGATTCCTGATCAGTTTGTGTAAGATGTAATAATCCAACAAGTTAAATCAGTTCACACACATCATACGCACCAGTTTTCATCAGTCACAACCAATACGTTCACATCAGTTTTCTCGTTCACATTAGTTTAACGATCTAACAATTGTTTGTCAGTTTTGTGCGGGTTTCAATGCCCAAACAATTCCTCATTAGTTATGTGTGGATTGCAATAATACAACAATTCATCAGTTTTATCAGTTTTTTTTTTTAACGATTTAACAGTTGTTAAGTTTTGAGTTGCTTGTAACAGTCATCTATTCGTCATATTCATTTGTACCCGCAGTCAACTGTCTTTATGTTTGTTTAGAAAACGCGTTGTCTGTGTAAAGAAAGTTTCAACATAGAAGTGCGTGTTGATGTTAGCTGTTGAACGTTTCCCAAGCTTTCCGTACTCCCGGAAACCTAGTTTTTCATCTTGAAGGTATGTTTTTATTCAAATTTTATTTTTACCTCAATCAGTGTGCTTGGATTTGTGCTGTATCTTTTCAAGAAAATCTTTTCCGATAAATACATTGGTCACGTAAAATGGTGGACATTTATTGGACGGCTGAGGTAGAAAAAGCTCTTACTTCGTTAAAATTTTTTTACTGCGCTTCAAGTCTATATAGCCTCATTTCCAGAGAATTTTATCTGATAATACCATGAGATCCTTGTTCAAAAAGTTTTTAATGTTCATTTAGAATGGTTGATACTTCTGATTTAATTTCGATTCACCCTTTATATTTGCTTTCTGAAGCAAAGCTTCCTGCTTCTACTGCGGCTGTTGCAAACCATGATCACTGAAAAAGCAGTAGAACTTCTTGCTTGAAGATTATTCGATTTTGTTGTTCTTTCGCGTAAGAAATATCTGAATGGCCAATGTTGAGCGATGTAAAATTAAATTCAAATGATATAAACTATTTTTTAAGAGTGGCTCGTAAATTTTAAATACATAACTTACATTGATTTTCAAGTTTTAACTGACCTCATTCTCAAAACTTAATCATTTATTGTCATTTTATAGATTTCGTGGCAAAATACGCGGTCTTTATAATGGGTGCATGTCTAATTGTACTAATGTCTAAAAATTTCACAAACGATTTGGAAAATACAATAACCTCAGTGGAATTATTTCCATTGATGATCAATAATTTTACTGACAGTCAAATTTACTTACATTATTTGAAAATTATGACCGTAGTTTGGCCTTCATTAAACCATGTAGACTTAACAGATGTTGGCCTCCTGACACAAAAGCGTCGATTCTTATTTAGTTCTGGCCAGCCAGGGTCGCTTTGTCGTAGGCAGGTATCTGAGCAGGGACCTATATTACTATGATGAGATAGCCAATATTGGGTAAGTTAACGCAGGTTGCTGAACTGATTACGTTCTTGCGTCATCAGTTCAACCTTCTTATTTTTTATAGCTTCCTTTAATTCTTTGATTATTGATAAAATTTTGAAGATGTTTTCTTTTTTGAATGCGTTTCCTTTTAAAAAAGCCACTTTTTCGTATCGCAACGCAGAGAACGCATCAATACACAAACTTAGTCTTGCATAAAACGTTTCATTGTCGTTCAAAATTATATTAATCTCAAAGATAATTTAAAGTTCCTGGTAATTAAAGAACAAGTGTCATTTTTTAGCACATCTTCAATGCAAACAAACACCAAGCTTAAGGTTACCAAGGACTTGAAACTTTTATGTTACTATCACTCAACTGCACCGCAAACTTACAACTCTTGTCTTTGTAGCTTGCACTTTCAACTTTTCCTAGGACTTCCAATTCTTGTCTTATTAGCTAATAGTGTCAACGTCATCAAAGACTTATATCTCGTGTCTTACTTATTTAGCACTCTAAATTCTCTTCATTCTGTACGGTAACAAAAGTTTACTTTCTACATGCACTTTCATGTTGTGAGTTCGTGAGGTAACGGCACATTCCCGAATGCCGCTAGGCGTATTATTTGTGAGTGTGAGCTTAGTTGGCCGCTGTGGAAGTGGCGTGATCACCTGGAACGCTGTATAGGTTGTCACGTCTCACTCAAATGCCAGTCTCGAGAAAGCTTTTCTCTTTCGACAATTACATGTGGAAGGTGACGATCGAATGCCGGGTCGCTTCAATAATTGCTCTGTTAAGAAATCACTTCAAAGTCATTTGAAGTATTTTGAATCAAAGTTGTAACGTTCGTCGTTGCGTAAAACTGAATTACAAGAGGTGTAAAACGTATCTCTGGATGTGGGTTGAAATTTTTAATTGTAAAATTTTCATTGCTATTCTGTATGCGTTCCTTGTATTGTTATTGTGATTAAACGCAATGAATATTCATTCATATTAAGCCATTCCTTAACTTGGCTACCGTAATTCAGCTCTGCCAATGACATTGTGTCCGCGACTTTCAAATTCCGGCGATGCAAACAATTGCATGCTTGCCTGCGTGCCAAAAAATTTACTTTTTCCAACTAGTTTTCTCTGTGATTTGTTCAGCGGAAATTAAAAAAAAAAAGAAATGTGATGCCTTTAAGGAAGGCTAATTTTTGGACGAGAGCTCATTTTAAACTTAAATAAATTATCGAACTCATTTGACCTTAAGTTGAATCGTGCGAACTGCAGCTGACATTTGACTCGACATCACACAAGGCCTCGACGAAACAAGTTATAATTAGGAGGTTGTGACAAATTCTAGTTTTTCCACACAAGCTAAAATTGGGGTTGTGGGAAGTTATAAGTTGTACATTAGAAGTTATAATTGGAAGGTTGGAACAGGTTATAAATTGTACAATACATGTTTTAAATGGGAAGTTGTGACTATAATTATAAGTTGTGGGTAGTGACAAGTTGTAGGTTGTACAAGACAAGTTATAATTTGAAGATTTGACCACTTCTAAGTTCTACAAGTAAAGTTATAATCGGAAGGTTGTGACAAATTTTATGTTGCACAAGATAAGATATATTCTTTGTGTTCACTATACGATCGCAGACATAATTTTGGAGTTTATGCGACGTGAATTATGACGATAATTGATTAATTTTGTGCGGCACGAATTTATTACATTAGCAATGCTTTTAGTTCTTCAAGCGAATAGCGACTTCAAACCACCACTGAGCAAGTTTTTGTTTGTTTAGTCGAGTCTATTTATTTGTATATAAAGAGGCAGGTTTGTCTTTTTCTACGCAGAACGATTGAAAACTCGTTTTTTATTATTTTAATAATTCATTACATATATTTTAATGATAATCTTAGCTATTGCCTAAATTAACGATCATGCTAATGGTTTAATGTGAAATGCAGCCTCTATTGGCTGTGGAATTAACGGTACGAAGGCTGAGCTCCTTTGCGTAGACGCGGCGTCGCTGGCGAGCCTCAAACCTGTTCCAGGCTCGGCAGGCTCTCAAGGGCACAGCAAGATCACCATTTCACTGCCTCAACTTTACGCTAACCTTCTGCGCTAGAAGCTCAAAGTCATTAAAAAGTTCATTAATGCACTGTCTCAACTTTACGTCAACGTTCTGGGCTCCAAGCTTAAAGTCATTAACCAGCTCACCATTTCAATGCCTCACCTGCCTCAGCTTTACGCTTAAGTCCAGCTTTCCAAGCTTAAAGATAATAACCAACGCACCATTTCACTGCCTCACTTGCCAATGTTTTACTGCAGCGATCGGCGCTCCCATTTCCCAATAACCAGTTCACTATTTCACTGGCTTACAAGACACTGTAATTAATTACGACATAATAATGTATCAGCCAATGTCCGCTCGTAGAGCTTGTAATTTCTGCAGCATTTTCAATAAAATACGAATATAAGCTTTTGCGAATTATTATCCAATTGATGAAGTAATCCAGTCAATCACACTATTTGTTATCTTCGAAGTTACATCATAATTTACATCCATAGCTATACTACTACTGTAATTATATAAGATCATCGTGAATGTCATTATGCAGGATCACTGCTCACGTCATTATACGTGTTGGTCCGAATGTTTTATGCTGTTAGGGTCCGACTAAGGTGGCCTTGCAAGTCTTCAGTTATCCAGAACATCATAAGACGACAAAAAAGGTGTGACGAACGTAGTTTTCTGTGCAGAGAGAAAACCATCCCAAGTGTGGGAATATAATTTTAAATTGATGCGGAGGTTCAATTGTTCATGATAGTTACCTTACTCAGGTATTGCATTAATATTCAACGCACTCGTAGATGTGTGAACTGGATAACTGGAAGTTAATTAATTTGGAGTGATAATTACTCAAAGTTTAATTGCATTTCAAGGCGCCAGCGTCAGTGTAGTGCATCATACGGCGTTAGTGTAGTGCATAACACGGTGTCAGTGTAGTGCATCATACGGCGTTAGTGTAGTGCATCACACGGCGTCAGTGTAGTGCATCCCACGGCGTCAGTGTAGTGCATCATACGGCGTCAGTGTAGTGCATCATTCGGTGTCAGTGTAGTGCATCACACGGCGTCAGTGTAGTGCATCACACGGCGTCAGTGTAGTGCATCATTCGGTGTCAGTGTAGTGCATCACACGGCGTCAGTGTAGTGCATCACACGGCGTCAGTGTAGTGCATCACACGGCGTCAGTGTAGTGCATCACACGGCGTCAGTGTAGTGCATCATACGTCGTCAGTGTAGTGCATCACACGGCGTCAGTGTAGTGCATCACATGGCGTCAGTGTAGTGCATCACACGGCTTCGGTGCAGTGCATTATACGGCGTCAGTGTAGTTCAAACTATGTTAATCATCTTAGTACTGTATTAGATTTTTTTTTATCATCTCAGTACGGTGTTCCAGATGTTTTAATCATCTTATTTTATGTTTCAGATGGCGGTCGACGGTTCGCCTTATTAGTTATAAATTAAAAATTTATCGTACAAACTTTTACTTATATTAAATCATGTGCAAATTAAAATGTGTGTTATTCTCTTAGAATGAAACTAAGATATGGTTGTAACAGTTGCGTCTTCCTGGATACGTTCTATTCTCCGTGACTTCGACTGGAGACAAAATCTTCTGGTGGACGAGGCGCCCCCAACATGAGTTACTGAGAGACAAAGATGGTCAGAAGCAGAGTTTCGCTGCTGTTAACTTTATTCCTCGTAGGGCTCCCAAACTCTGGCACCACTGCCAATGGAGCTAATCGTTTCTTAGGCCGCGGGTCGGGTATACCCGCCGTTCACAAATGTTGTCCTCGGGATCAAGCGCTGCTAAGTGGCCGAGGATGTATCAGGTCTTCGAGTCCTCCGTCCGCTTATCTCACTCATCTACAGAATACCATGTCGGTGAGGGTGGGCTTCCCAGTACCTCGCAATACCACATGCACCATGATGATGCTCAGGAGAGACATTAAGCATGTGGCCACATGGTGGATCAGTCGAGTTGGTCTATTGGCCGTCGAGGCACCTCAGGGAGAATTAGCCATTCACAATTACTGCCTTGACGACCTTGTTGATCCTGTGACTAACGCGGCTTCTCCTTCAGCTGTCACTTGTGTTCATGAACTCAATGGTGAACTGCAGCTTCCTCTTTCTTCTTTCCGGAGTAAGACGGTTGGTAAATGTTGCGCAAGAGACCAACATTTCTCCCACGTGAACCGCACATGCCAGACTGGGGCAGAAGGAATCCCCGATTGGGAAGTGCCAGTTCCTGGAGCCGATAACGAAACCCAACTCGGCTACACTGGTTTCCCCAGTTGTTCTTCAGGAAAGTATTCAACTTACTACTTCGAGAACAACACCAAGGAACACGTCAGACTTTCCGCGAACTTGAGTCTACTCATCGTGCGAATGAATGGACATTGTGTCGAGAGAGAAAGTACTGTGAGCCTCAAAGATTATTGTTTTGACTATGAATGGGATGGAAAACGGGAAGCCAAACCTTTGGCCGTAGTTTGCCTCGAGCCTGACGATGTTCTTGATCTGCTCGAGGTGGAGCAACAGCCTGCTCTGCTTGTGCTGCTTTCGCTTTCCTGTATCGCCCTCATTCTCACCCTCATCTTCCTGGTCGCCCTTCAAGCAAAAGGCTTCGTCCAGCACGAATCCCAGGTAAGAGTTGGCGCAAACGATCTCAGTCTTACCATATTATTATTATTAATAAACGTTCGTCAAGAACATGAATGCTGTACCTCAACCAATATTTTTGCTGCAAACTATCACACAGGGTCGGCATTGTAAAATTTTTCTCATGTGGTGCAACTATATACCAAAAACTATGATACTTCTATCGGTCACTGTTTTCACAACGAACGTTGCTTATAAGCTCACTGAAAGATGTTTATGACATCGAACAGCTCGGAGAAAATACATATGTTGAATAAATAATATATATGACTGTGTTATATTTACTATTACAGATCTCAAAAACAATTGAGATATTAGGCTGATCACATTTTGCGCTTCATATTTTCTTCAATACGTGAATATCTTCGTTTTTTACAATAAGTTGTAATTCTTTTATTTTCTGTCTCGTGATTAACTCCAGGTGTGAAGGATATTTTCATTCAACAGTTTAGATCAAAATCTAAATATTTTAAATTTATCAAGATCACAATCCTCGTATTCATTTTAATTTTCAAATTTCATATCATAATTCTCTTGAATTACTCTGGCAATTTTTATATTCTAGTCATGGCAACGAATTTTCTAATTTTAATTCGTAAACGTTGCCTGCCTCATTTCCATTCAAATCGCTTTCTCTTCAATTCTTGTAATCACATGACATCTTCGAATTGTTTATCTCATGGCAAATATTTCATTGTAAAATCTTTGAATTATTTCATTCTCTACCTCATGACACCCATCAATTGTGATTCTCTCAAGGCAGATTTATCATTTCAAGATCTGTAATTCATCTTTATTCTCTTCCTAATCGCGCTGATGCTTGGTGTAAGTTTCATCCGGATTACGAATGTTTTTCTGTTCAGACGGACCTACTGGCGCCGCGCACTCACATTACCTACGTGGTCGCGATGCTGCTCAGCTTCTTCGTTTTTGCTGCGGCCAGTGGGCTGGATGCACACGAACGTTCGTCCCTCTGCAAGGCTACGGGTGAGCTTACACTTTTACTTTCGTATTAACTCTGACTGTCGATTATTAATTATTTTTTCATTTACCTTATCATCCCGATTTGTTTTTCTGTTGTATAAGTTATTCGTTTATCCCGCCTGAACCTTCTCTATCAACTCAGTCAGCCTCCCCTTCTTTCTTTTCTGGTTATTCGTCGCGCATATTTTTTTTTCTAATTCGTGATTGTATGTTTCCAATCTGCCTTTTTGCTTACGATGTGGACTAGCAAGAAATTCGGATGTACACTCAAGGCAAAAGTAATTGTAACCGCCACGTTTACTAACAAGGAATACATATGTACACTGGAATAGTCCAAGCACAAATAATTGTAATCGCTCCGTGGACTAGCAAGAAATACGGAGGTACACTCTAATGCACAAATAATATTCTACTTGCGTCCTGCCATGAACAATAAGGTCTCACCGTCCGGTTCAGCGTCAGGATATTTGCCATATACGTAACCATTGCATCCATTCAAAAAGTTTTTTCAGATTTTCATTATAACAGATTTTATCAAAATCTAATCTGATGAAATAAGAGACAAACTGTTCGAATTTATGGTGAGTCTTATACTCTAGAAATTGTATGCCCACTTTCTAAATTTTCAGTCAGAAATCAAATTATTTTCGAGAACTCTGATGAAAGTGAATTAATCTGGTTTGTTGCAGGTGGATTTTTAATGTTCTTCATCCTCGCCGGCTTCCACTGGAACACAGCCCTCTGCATCGAGTCGTTGCTCATCATCATGTGAGTTGAGGAGACACTGGCAGCGATGATCAAGTCCTAAGTTACAAGTTAAATATTTTGACATGAACGTAATCTACTCCTTAATTATTTATGCACAGCATAATTAGCTCTAAATAATTCATTTTTCAATGATGATATAAAGCAAGACTAGGTACGTATATACTAGCTCATATTAGATGATCTCCTCGTCTTAAATTGGAATTCATTTGCAAAATGCCATTGCTGGTTAATACTATAACATGTAGGTATCCTGTCACCCTATAATACCGTCACTAACTTAAGAGTTATTTTGCAATTTAAAGTTATTTTGAAGCGCGGTAAATTTTTTCCTAACTAAGGGACAGATTTAGTTTTTTTTCAATGGTCAATATCTAAACGCTGTACAACCTATCACTGAAGAACGTGATCTCTTCTCAGTTGAATTTGAGAAGTTCAACACCTTCGTCAGTGTTGGGCATCGTCAGGAATAAAATTACTGCACGTTACTTTTTGCTACTTTGAGTCGAACGTACCGACAATGCGTGTCTTCAGGAGGTACGGAGTGACAGGCTGGGCTCGTTACGCCGTCCACTGCTGCTGGGCGTGGGGTATGTTCAGGCATTTATAATATTGTTTGTTCAGGAGGTACGGAGTGACAGGCTGGGCTCGTTACGCCCTCCACTGCTGCTGGGCGTGGGGTATGTTCAGGCTTCTATAATATTGTTTGTTCAGGAGGTACGGAGTGACAGGCTGGGCACGTTACGCGGTCCACTGCTGCTGGGCGTGGGTATGTTCAGGCATTTATAATATTGTTTGTTCAGGAGGTACGGAGTGACAGGCTGGGCTCGTTATGCCCTCCACTGCTGCTGGGCGTGGGGTATCCCCGCTGCTATCACGTTCGTTGCCATGAGCCTGGATGCTCACAGCGACAACTTGTCATGCAGTGCCATACTGCCCAGGATTGGAAAATTCAAGTGCTTCTTTTCAGGTGATCTTTATTACTTGACTTCATGGCAATTTGTTGACAGAATAAACTCTTAGAATATCTGCAAATTAAAATATTTTTAAGCAAGGAAAATGCTGAGATTGATTACTAGTGTCAATGATATTTATTTTTCATATTTTTAATCGATTTTGGTTATTTAATTGATAGTGTTATTAGTTACTGACTAATATAAAGATATCACTAAGTGGAATTTTATTGTTTTTCAGTCGTACTCAATTTGTTTTATAATTATCGTGTATGTTAGCCCGGAGTTGGTTGGGAGCTTACGTGGTAAGGAAACACGGCAAAGGAGGGTAACGCAAAGTGCTGATGGGTAATGCCGAGTATCAGGGATTACAAGATGTTTTAGTTTATCCCAGCCCAAAACCCAAATCCAGCTAGGCAGGGTAACCCGAGGTATCAACACAACTCAGTGCAGAATAGCAACCCAGTTTGGAGTTAATTCGAACTACCATCCTGACTAGGCATTGCACGGTAACGCAGTTACTATAATTGTGTATCCCGCGGCAGGGTATCTAGGTATCAACGTGACTCCATATAGCAGGGCAACTTAGTTTGGCTGGATAGCCCAGTTTGATAGGGTTACTCGACAAAATTGGCCAAAATTCGACCCTGAGACTAAGAAAGGCTTCCGATTGGCCAAAATGCGAACCGACCGACTTGCTTAAATATAGACCAGATAAGATCGACGCCACGAACACGCGAGTTCTTCCCCATCATCATATAAACTTGATATTTATTACAGACCCGGACGCCTACATGCTGTACTTGTACATGCCGATATTTGCGACGTTGGTGGTGAATCTGGTGACGTTATGGGCTGGTCGACGCATCCGCCTTATGCGTCTGCGTAGACTTGAGCTCGGCGCCAAGCATCACCACAAGCGTCACGCTTCTTCTGGTAATAGTTAGCACACAGTTTCATTGAAGAAAATGTTGTGTAAATTGTTCCACTAATTTAATGCGTCATAAATCAACGAATCAGAAAGATTATATGCTCTCAAGTTCCCTAAAGGTGTCTAAACGTAAGGAATATTGCATTATTGTCATCAAGCTCTTCAGAGGTATTCTGACTCTTAAATGACTAGATTTAAATGTAATCTTATCATATCAATGGTTGTGAAATGTTGAATTTCTGCTTCTATTGTTTATCTTTTTAAAAAATAATTTTGCCGTAAATTTTTTTTTATTATTATATGGTACAATATTGAGGACGGTGTCAGCTGTATAAATTTTCAGTCCAAGTATAAAGAGTTCACTTCAGTAATTTTTGTCCGCTATGTGACGATAAATATCAGTATATTGGAAATGCCAATGATCTGGGCCTATACATTCAAAAAAAGTTAAGAGATCGTAAGTTCAATAGCCAATCATTGACGGCCTTTCAAGCAAAATCCACCAATCATAGAGAAGAAAATAGAGCGTAAGTATTACGTTCACTTAGCGAATTTTGAAAGTATGGCCCCTGAACAAAAACATTAACATATAAAATTAAATGAAGCCGAGAATATATAACATAGGCTGGGATAATGTTGTGCAGGAGGCTCCGGTAACGGCAAGAACGGCACCCTGGAGGGGGACATCTCGGCTCCCGACCTGCAGCGGCGGGCGCTAGGCCCCGCGTACTCCAGCACCAAGGGCAGCAACTCGTCCATCGCACGCTTCGGGCTCAGCTCCAGAGAAACTCTGAAACTGTAAATGAATTTAATTTTTACAGATTATTATGCCTCTATATGACGTAGCGTTAGCTCTTAAATTTACTGTACAGCAAAATGGAAACTCTGAAACTGTAAATGAATTTATTTTTTTACATATTATAATGCCTCTACATGACGTATCGTTAGCTCTTAGGTTTACTGTACCGTAAAATTAATTTCAATATTGTTTCGGTAAATATGATTAGTTAGCTAATTGGTTGATTTTAAATATTTTTCGATGAGCGTACGGGGATTTGCGCATTCAATTTATCATGCTGAATAATTTAAAAAAAAAAAAAAAACAATCAAACGTTCTATAAAAATTTGAGAATTTTCATAGGTACCCACGATATTTTCCGATAGTTTACCATTTGTTCCATGCCTTCTGAATTAAAGGATTCTATGTACAACATAATATCTTCAACAGGTGGTTGGAGGCTGTTTGCCTGGCCTTGTGGTCAGCCGTAACCGTGACGTTGGAAGTGATTGGATTTACGGTGATGGGTTATGGATTATCGCGAGGCGATCAATGGCACCAGTCTCTTTGGTACATCCCTACAGCCGTCAACGCTCTAAGAGGCTTGGGTGTGTTCCTCATCTTAGTCATCCTACCCAAAGAGAGTCGCAGCTACGCCGCTGAGCTCATTTCTGCTGCATGGGAAAAATGCGGGGGAAAACCTCTACGTGAACTCTTACCTTCAACTCGTCGGTCTTCAACGTCCACCAGCACAACTGCCACCACAACTGCAACCGCCAGCCCAGTCGCTCTAGGCGACAAAGAGAGAATTTCTCAATCGTCTTCGGATACTCCGCTATCATCTCACACGGCGTCGATGAGTGAGCTTCGTGAACTGCCCAACCCTAACGATAACGGTTTCACTCCCACGACTTTGGAGACTAATTCAACATCGATTTCAACGAAACCCAAGAGCTTACCCTTGGAAAAGACAATAGACTCTAGGACGCCGAAGAAAACAAATTCCAAAACAGACGAAAAAGCGACCAACGGTGGTTCCATTTCAAAGAGCGACGAAAATGAGTCTGACCGGAAATCTGACAAATTGAGCAGTGAAAATCCCGATATTTATCATCGAGATGAGACAATGAATTGTATGAATAACACCTCTACAGATGCACCTATGACCGACGTAGAACATGGCTGTCTCAATGAGTCTGTTCGAAATATCAGTGAAATTTATCCTAAAAGAAATAGCCTTGGCATGCCGGCAAAACCTCCCCGAAAGTCACTAGATTTATCTACTCGTGCGTCTCTGAGTCTCGAAAATGTGTCACAATTTCCTGGTCGTGGCGACTCGAGGCCTGCTACCCCACCCAAAACTCCTTCTCCAAGTTTAGAAGACGACTGCAATTCAAAGGATCCATGCAGGTATCCTAGTAAGATCCGGTCTGACTCGGCTCCCGACACTCCTCCTGATTCAGTTCCTCCGTCACCTCCAAAGTCTCCACCACCTCTTGAAGTTTGTGATCAAATTCTTGAAGTTCTACCTCTGCAAACGGTGGATGAGAGTCACCTTAGCATTTCTGCGACACGCTCAGTAAAAAATGACGATGCAGTAAAATTAAAACCGTCCGAGTATTCAGGGATTGCTACCGACGATGCTGGTTCAACCAATATGGATGAAACCGAGAATTATAAAAAGCCTTTGGCACTAGACAATTCCTGTGTTGTTTCACCGGAGAAAATTAGGAAGAAGGATGATTCTAGGCTGGAATCCTCCGAAAATTCAATGGCTCGAGCGGATGCCAGTACGAATCAAGCAGAGAATCCATCGGCGTTTTTTAATCAAGCGTCTTATGATGGTGAGGTCCCTGGAAGTGAATTCAGCCTTGACGACAAAATTGAGCGAGAAAAGGCGGACGATTGTGTTGCCAGCAGAGGCGATAATGACAGTGAACATCATCCTGACGCTGCTGAGGTTGAATCTTGTAAATCTACGTTGAATGTAACCAATATTAGTGCATAAGCGGCATCCTAATGTTAATCTAGCTGCTAGCGTTTATGTATACGAGAGTTGCAACTGTAGTTGCGATTTTCATTTAATTATACAGATAATTGAAGTTAATGGTTCATAACAGTCATGAATATTATTGTAATAATATTTTATTTGTCTTTGAAAATTTGAACTGACCTGCTGCTAAAAGTGAAGGTATCATAGCTATTATTCAAATGTGTCATAAAATATGGAGTTGGTATATAAAACTGGAGCAGTCCGGGTTTCAAACAAGACATCTCTTGGAGATGCCATAATTCTCGCAGAACACTTTGAATTTCCTGCCACAAGTCCACACTATTTGCCTCATATCACTAACATGAACACTAACACTATCATTTAACACTAGCAGTTAAAATTTAATAATTTAATTATCTAAGGAGTTATGGAGCACGAAATAAGTTTATTTTTTATAGTCGTCAGTTAGTCTGTCGCATTAAGAACTCAGAACAGGGCGGGTTGTTCAGTGCCTTGCCTTTCGTGCTCTCAGGGTAACTTTGGAAGAGGATTGGGACTGGCGAGACTGGATTGAGTTGACCCATTTTAAAAATATTTCAAAAATCCTTACAGCAGAGAATCCTTGCTGCCTTATGCTCGTTTATGTGTAAAAATTTAAATTTCCGCGTAATTTTACATTGAACTGTCAGATGATTCTATCGGTTTGCATTGAATAAAAAGTCCCGCGTTATTGAATTTTTGGAGTTAAATAATAGCATTTTATGATGCCAACCGACAGATTCCCAGACGTTTTATGATGCCAACCGACAGATTTCCGCTACGTTTTCATTAAAATTCATTTTTACATTCAAATGCAATTCTGGTCCTACTAAATATTATCCGTAACCGATCAACAGAAAAAGTGTGCATTTCATCGGGTTTTATTTCAGGCTTTAATTTAAAAGACATTTGATAATGCCGCCCCGCAATCTTTAAAAGACAGACATTTGTACCATATTATATTATCTGTAGATAATACCCTAAGTTATATCATGATTTCTATCTGTTTTACAGTGCGTGGTGTGAGACTGTACATAGGCCGTGTACATCGTGTCATAATTTCTGTACATTCTTCTAGTTTTATCCTGGGAAATTTTTATCTTTTAAATGCGAGTTCATACGTGCTTTTCTCGAAATTCAAATTGTTTTCTAGAATAAATTAGGTCGTTAATTCTGTTGTTGCTTTCAAAATTTTCGCTTCCAACTGACAATTTTTTTGATCAATTTTCTGGATCTATTCATTTTACAATTTCGCATTGTTTGTTTTGGATTCATATCTTCGGCGTCCATTTTTTAATTTATGTTTTTTATTGGTTTCATTCACGAAATTTATTGTACTAAGTGCGAGAATAGAAGAATTGATATTTATTACATTGATTTATGTTCAGGGTTTGTGTTGAGAGCGTTCAGAAGTACAAATAAATTTTGTACGATGTTTGCAGCGACTGAATATTATGTATTAATATATTACTTGAGCTTCCAGCGTTTTATTCGTCACAATAATTAAATATAATATTTATTTGAAGAATGTTTGGAACAAACTTGGTTGATTAAAAACGAGATATGAACAGTTTCAATAATTTAAACCATAGTGTGAGCAAACAATTGCGCGCTTATACTTGTTTGTACAATATAGGTGTTCGAGTGTCACAAAACGTTTAAAATTATAACTATTTTATTATAATTTGTATTTGTAAATTATAGCGATTCAATTATAATTTGTATTTGTAAATTATAACTATTCCACGATTACGTGCATATACTTGTTTATGCAATGTTAGTGTTCGAGTGTCACAAAATTATTTGAATTATAACTGATTTATCAATTTGCTTTTTGATCATTGGAGAATTCCTTAAATAATTTACATAGTTTGAAAGGAAATGTAGCGAAACCACACTTGATGGGCTCTGTTCAACAGCCATTAATCAATCTCTGTTTAACCAATCAAACTGTTGAACAGCCTCTGTTCAACAGCGTGTTTAGTTGACGCGAAGGTGGTATGACATGAGCCTATGTGCAGATCCCAGAAGATATATCTGATATTCGTAGTAGCATCCTGACGTAAACGTCATCAAGATTGCCTCAAAATTTGTTCATGTACCAAACGAAACGATAAATGAATTGTATTCCCAATTTTTGTTTCTGCTCTGTCTCGGAAAACCTTTCCTTCTGAATATCTTTTCTCTCGTGAAAACATCCCACATCTGAAAACCCTTCGACAAAATTCTCATGTTCATTAAGACTAGCGTCGAGAGAACAATTAAAAAATATATATTTTAAACGCGTTTTCTTTCACATTCTGATATCTGCACCCCAAAGTAGATAAAAACTTTGAGACCGATTTATTCGAAGTTGATCGCTCAGTCTGAATTTGTTTTAGATAAATATCTCAAAACACAAAGAAATCCGTAACTCACGCCACATTTCCTTTGAATCTCTATACAAATTCTGGAAACCCCATATTAGAAAATTGATTAATGACAATTGCTGAGCCTGAGAAGTTCTGCCAATCCAGTATCAAGACAGAGATATCGCATACATGTAACATTCTAGGGACGGAAGAAAGCTTCCATACATGTAACATTCTAGGGACGGAAGAAAGCTTCCATGCATGTAACAGCCTAGGGACGGAAGAAAGCTTCCATACATGTAACAGCCTAGGGACGGAAGAAAGCTTCCATACATGTAACAGCCTAGGGACGGAAAAAAGCTTCCTTACATGTAACAGCCTAGGAACGGAAGAAAGCTTTCATGCATGTAACAGCCTAGGGACGGAAGAAAGCTTCCATGAATGGCACATTCTCGGGAGAACCAATGCAAAGAGTGAGGGGATTCTTTAACGATAGTTATGCGTCTTACAACGCCTCCCGTTTACACAATAAGAGACGCGCTTGTATTTCGGACTGTACCAGGTGTGTATCCGAGTTTCTTTCAACCTTCATACAATCTAATTCCTAAAGAATATTTAAAAGGATTTTAGAAAAGGATAGAGGTTGCCGCTAGAAACCTAATTTTCCTGATAGTGAAGTGACATCAGCATAATTTGGCTTTAAAATTTTCTCCATGTTGATTGTAAAATTGTTCAGTACAGCGTTGCCTGTAGGTTGTGCGTTGGTTTGACTGCATGCGTAAGATTTGAATCAAGACTACTCACCCAGACATACGATAAACCATGCCCGTGCGAGTTGTATTGACATAACGAGATTGTATGTTAGGAATACAGTCATTTATATATGAAGGTGTAACTCGTTATCACAATTATTATCATTATTACTAGTCATCACTGTGACTCCGAAAAAATGTCTAAAAAATTCTTGGAGAATACGTCTTAAGATGTAGGATCATGCGAGTTCCACGTCCATAATCAACAGCGTTTGCTTTAGAACCTGTTTTGAGGGCTGAATCAATAGGTTAGGAGAATTTTTTATAAAAAATCATAACTGGCTTACATACGCCAGCTTGTTTGCGAGTTTTGCGTACAGAATATTTCTTAACGATTATGGTATTGTATGGTAACATTTATTAAATAATATAACAAGATTGGATCATATTAATGAAAACCTAATTCCAAATAAAAAAACAATTAAAATAAAATTAAATCCAAAATGCAGCCAGATGCCACAGCTATAACGTAAGAATGATCTGGTCATGCCACCAGTAATGACTGCCGTTAACTTTGAAGAGGCACTTGAATCTTGTTTCCCATAAAACTCACTTAAAAAGAATTCGAAACTCTGCGCAGCGCAAGATCACTTCAAGGTCTAGATGCCTGCGTGCCTAAACAAGGTCAGACTGCGCTACGTCAGAGCTCTCAGACCACTCAAGGACCTCAAGGTAATCTCTTCACTTTGAAATAAGCAGCGTATCAGGTTACATCACACTTAAATAATTGAAATAATTATATCACGCTCTCAATGGAAGACAGAAAACAAACAGTTGATTCTGTTTTTGAATGAAATGCGATGCCGTTATATTGAACAGGGATTACTGCTCCATTATATTATACAAACAAAGAAGCCGAAAATATTTAAATGTGAAGTACAGTTGAAAATAGATATTTTTGATGATAAGAAGTCAAAAATAAATTGTATTTTCCTCTTCAGCAAAGTTTAAATGAAAGATTTAGCCACTAAATGTAGCTCACGCTGAATTTTTTCTACATTTTGTGCATCTAAAATTCATACATTGAGAGCTCGAGATCGAATGAAGCTCTGTTGCCATGAGATAAAATCTGTGCAACGGCGTAAACCAAATTTCCTATGTATGTCGCATTAATGTACAGAAAAAAATGAAATACATTTCGAAAAGGTTCACGATGATGAATTTTCGTGAGTTATTTATACATATGTTTTCGTTTGCAGAAAGGGAACAATTATTGTTCGCGAGGTAAGAGCGGCCATTGAGCCCCCAGCATGGTTTTTGGGGTTTAGTTATTGAATAACAAACAAGCCCTAATCGACGTAAAAAAGTTGAGAATAGTTTCAAGCATTTTCTCAACTCAATCTTCTTGAGCACAGATTTGCACTCACGATAGAACTTACGTTGAACTTAAAAATCTTGGGCTATTCAGCTCTTGGCGCCATGTGGGTTGAGGCGGTCGCTGGGTGTGGTCAGTTTGCGGCAGGAGTGATGAAGCATTCCGCCGTCAGAGGTCAAGCTTCGCGATTCCATGCAAAAAGACGATAGATAACGAATTTAACTGTGTCGATTTTAAGAGAAGAAATAGTTCGAACCAATCGTTGGTAGATATAAGACAATGAACCAATTTGAACCAATCCTTGCCTTTGAAAAATTTGCAGGATAGTTCACTTTACCACGGCAGGAAATACACAAATAAGCATAACTGTGTTTTGTTATAATAATATAGTTGTGTCAGCTTGACGGATTAGGCCATGATTGGCTCTTTGCTGATTCATGCCATTGTAATTTTTTACAGCTAGCTGGTGCTCGAAACCACAACAATCTGTTCAAATCTTGGTGATCCTATCCACACGGATGCAGTGCAATTATAGTTCTATAAACAATTTGATTACAATTTTAAATATAGTTTGAACACAAGACACATCAGAGAAGCGAAAAAAGTGAGCTAAAGCTCCAGTGGATCATGCAACGCAGGAATGGCATGCGCATAGTGAGCGTTCACATCAAGGATTGGTATCTACGAAGCGTTGAGGTCTCCGTTGATAGAATGTGTCTGTTGTACCTAACGCTAAATTAAGGGTAACTGGAATTCCGCTGGTGTTTGTGAATAATTTATAATAGGGTTGGATTTGGATAATTTGTGAAAGTAATTATTATTTATTCAATTAATAATAATTATTAATATTAATAATTAAATATTAATAATTATTAATTAATTATTAATAATTAATAATATTAATAATTATTCACCCACTCGCAGTCAAGTCACAGAAATATGATCTCAACTGCCAGAGGCTAGAAGCTCGAGTATGTGGCCCAATGACGTTTGGGTAACAAAAAACAGCTAACAAGTATATATTTTTGAATTTACCTGCGCATCTTTTATGCCGTAATTTAAATTCTTTAACGAAGGTAGAAAATCATGGTCAAGATTATAAGATTACATACGAGCTATTATGCTTCAAGACCAACTCCCAATACCCCATTAGATGACGCTGGGCTTCTCACGGTACACCTCGCGTCTCCAGAGCAAAATCGTGACCTTTTTTCTCGTGATTCAGGTTTGCTGCATTCATTGCTTCCTTGAAGTCTTCACACGGAACCTGACCGACAGCAGTGCACGGGACCTTCATTAGATGCACATTTCGATCACCAGTGCTGAGGTGAAAAATAATACCTTAACGAATTACTTTAAATTAAATATATTAATGAAAAAAGTATTTCTTCTGCTGAACACGTTATACACCAATGATTCTTGACTATGTATCAAGTTAGAGGATTAAGCTTGTATTTGAGTTTTTTGATGAAATAATTTACCAAGACTAATTTAGAAATTTCAATAAATATGACACCCACATGAAGGAATTGTAGAGATGAGAACTATGCGATGCCCTAGCAATGTACAAAACATGTCGTTAAGTGACAAAGTTTAGAAAAGCTGCGGTCCGCAAAGTTTATTCTAGATTATTGATCGCCAATTTTTTTTTCTGTCGTGAAAATTTTCAATATGTGAATTTCATGGTCATATAGTTCCTAAGAATTTGCTAACACGAGCTTCTTAACAAGACACTCGCAGATCCGGAACTCATCGCACTGACCTTGCCCCTTGCGTCGAAGCTGGCCTCACTTCCTATCGTAAACGCAAATGTTCATTCCTTCCTTCGCGCCAACGAACAGAAGTTTGAGTACAAAACTCAGTTAAATGAGCTGAGTTTACGCCATTATTCTGTCGTAATTCTTAGTTACTGGTGGTGCCGACCTAGGATCGTTTGATTACGTATTATCGTACACGCAAATGTTCATTCTTTCCTTCGCGCCAACGAACAGAACTCAGTTAAATGAGCTGAGTTCACGACATTCTTCTGTCGTAATTCTTAGTTACTGATGATGCCGACCTAGGATCGTTTGATTATGTATTGTTAATCGTTGAGTTGATTTTGGTCGGAACTGCATGTGGCTCTCGTATAATTTTTCTCACTGCGAACATTTCGAAATTTCGCTTGAAAATTATTTGAGTTGAAACCGTCACCATGATTTGAGTGAAGTTAATCGAAATAAATCTAGGAATTCTTTTTTGTCTCAAGAAGCTTTCATCATCGATGGAAGTTAATCACATAGCAGGATTAAGTTTACCAATTTAGAGGGTTATTATTCAGGAATTAATTGATCTAATAGTAAAAGTAAAAATTATTTAAGTAGCTACATGTCCAAGATCTTCGAATTTTCTTCCCATTTTTTTTGAAGCTCATTGTAGATTGAATTTTTCGCTTTTACTCTGTTGCAAAATAAAGATACAAAAAACCGCATAACACTTTGAATATTATGCATAAGCAAAGTAAATCAAAAGCATGAATGAAAAGCAATTGCTGCAATAAAAACATGCCCTACGAAAATTAAACCCAATTTCCAAACCCGTTTAACATTGTCGTAAGAGGATGCGTCAGGACTCATCACTTAGACAAGATTCTTCGAACTGAAGATTACAGCCTCGCACTCATGATATTGTGTCAGTTCTTTATCTAAAAAATTGTCGCCTTGATGGCAGAGTAATTTGAGCTCCATGACATAAAGGCCACATTAGGCGCAGTGTCCAAAAAACACATGTGTTTTTTCTCAAATTCTTCCACAAACAACCTTTTG